GCCTCTTTATACAGTGACAGAGTGAAAGGTTTCTGTCTCCTGCTCTCACATGCACCGTGGAATGTGGATTGTTTACTTGTGCAGACATGGTCATTTGGGTGCTCCTGGGATATGAGGTTGTGTACCACCATGATTAAACATTCTCACTGCAGGTGAATAATTGCAAATGGTTCTTGCAAATGCACTAGAGCCTAAAATTCCACCATGTTCCCCACGTCCACACATTTAATTTTAGAGCCCTTTTCTCATCTGTCACCTTTGTGTTTCCCCAAGGACAGAGTGGCCTAAGGACAGAGAGATTTCACGCCTCCTTTGGCCCCTCATTCGTCCAGGCCCACAATACACCCTGCCCTCCTTGACCAGACATACTCTTTTTATAACTCACCACAGTGCCGGCACCATTAGAGACCCCTCCAAAAGCTGGACATGAGCACGTCTGACCCACAAGGGCCCCACCCAGGGGCAAATCCAAATCCTGCCGTCACATGCTCTCCCTTCACCAGCACTGACTCCCATCTCAACCAAGCCCATGTCCCAAAGTTCAGAGTTCAGCCGAGCTGGGAGCAGGATGCGTAGCATGGATCAGTCCTCCCTCATACTGGCATTGTTACTTCCAGGCTGTATACCCTCAAACAGTAATTCCTTTTCCTTTTGCCAAAACCTTCACACATGCACACCTGGAGAACTTCTCAGACTTGAGTCTGGCACTTCCAACAATACAGATGACCTAACAACAGATGGGGAATCAGGGACTACCCCCCCCCCCCGCCCCGCCCCAGAATCACCATGTGTAATATAAACACATAAGGCACCCATCAGCTCCTTTCTTGGAGTGGCCCCTGTGATGTCTCCTGAATCTGATTTTATACTTCATTCTAATATGGCGGTTTCAGCACTCATTGGCCCCTCTGCCTAATGAAGCTTGGAAAGCTTAACAGAATAAGTTTTAGTTCCGCTGCCTTCAAAAACGGCTCTCAGACCAAGAATTTGCTTTGCCATGGCAATTTTCAGATTACTGTCCTCGACAAAGCAGCCTCACATGCCTATGAGCACACAGAAGTTCAATTCTGTTCTTCATATATTTATTTATTAAACTTATCTTTATTTTTGAAAGTATTATAGATTTCCCCCTTTGCCACCCTCAACCCATCTCCTGCCCAACTCCAGGCCTTCAATACATTATTTTCTGTGTCTATGGACTATTCATATATGCTCATTGATTAATCTCATCCCTCCTAACACCCTCCCATCTGCCATCTGTCAGTCTGTGTTTCATGTAGCCATGTCTCCAAGACTTACTTTGTTCAGTAGATTGCACATGAGTGAGATCATGTTATATTTGTCACTCTCTGACTGCCTAATTTCGCTTAGCATAATAACCTCCAGATTCCTCCATGCTGTCCCAAAAGGTAAGAGAGCCTTATATTTTACTGCTGCATAGTATTCAATGGTATAAATGTACCGCAGGATTTTTTACCCACTCATCTAATGATGGGCACTTGGGCTGTTTCTAGATCTTAGCTATTGGAAATAATGCTGCTATGAACACAGAGGTGCAAATATTCTTTTGATGGTGTTTTAAGATTCTAAGGGTATATTCCCATAAGTGGGATGGCTGGGTGGTAAGGCAGTTCCATTTTTAATTATTTAAGAAAACTCCATACTGTTTTCCACAGTGGCTGCACCAGTCTGCATTCCCACCAGCAGTGAACTAGGGTTCCTTTTTCTCCACATCCTCATCAGCACTTGTTTGTTGATTTATTGTTGCATAGCAATTCTGGCAGGTGAGAGGTGATACCTCATTGTTGTTTTAATTTGCATTTCTCTGAAGATTACTGATGTTAATCATTTTTTTTCCTATGTCCATTGGTCATCTGTATGTTCTCTTTGAAGAAGTGTCTATCCAGGACCTTTGCTCAAATTTTTATTTGGGTTGTCTTCATGGTGTTGAGTTGTGTAAGTTCTTTATATGTTTTGGAAATTAACCCCTTTCCAGATGTATCATTGAAGAATATGCTCTCCCCTACAGTGGGTTCCCTTTTCACACACTAATGGTTTATTTTGCTGTGCAGAAGCTTTTTAGTTTGATATAGTCCCATTCATATATTTTTCCTTTGTTTCCCTAACCTAAGAGATGTATCAGCAAAAATACTGCTTGGTGAGAGGTCTGAGATATTATGGCCTCTGTTCTCTTTTAGGATTTTTCTGGTTGTGTGGCTTACATTAAAATATTTTATTCATTTTCAGTTTATTCTTGTGTATGATATAATTTGATGGTCATTGCATTTTTTTTTGCATGTACCATCCAATTTTCCCAAAACCATTTATTAAAGAGACTGTCTCTACTCCCTGTATGCTCTCACCTCATTAGTCAAATTAACTATATGGTGTGGTTATTTTCTGGGGTGTCTGTTCTTTTTCATTACTGTATATGCCTGTTCTTGTGCCATTACCAGGCTTTTTTTATGACAATGGCTTTGTAGTATAGTTCGATATCCCATGTGGTGATTCATCTAACTGTGTTCTATTTTCTCAAGATAGCTAAGGCTATATGGAGTCTTTTTTGGTTCCATATGCTATGAATTTTTGGAATTTGTTCCAGATCTGTGAACTCTGCCGTTTGTATTTTAATACATATTGTGTTGAATCTAGAAATTACTTTTGGGTAGTATGGACATTTTAATGATGTTAACTCTTAAAATCCATGAAACGGTATATGCTTCCACTTTTTTTCTTCCTCAATTTCTTTTTCCAATGTCCTATAGTTTTCCAAGTAGAGGCTTTTTAACTCCTTGGTTAAGATCATTCCTAGATACTTTATTTATTTATTTATTGCAATGGTAAATGGGATTGATTTTTTTTAGTTTCTCTTTCTGAGAGTTCTTTATTGTTGTATAAAATGCCACATGCCTGTGGACCTGGACAAAACCCAGAAGGGATGGCTATGGGCACCTGTGAGGCAGACAGTGGGTCCTCCACTTCCCTTCTTGCTTCTTATTTTCAGCTTTGGCTTTCCTAGGCCTGCACACAAAAAACTTAACTTTTATGGTTTGTATTATTTTATTCTGTTCAACCTAATAGTGTATTAACATTTTTTAAATTTTTTTTATTGATTTCAGAGAGAAAGGAAGAGGGAGAGAGAGATAGAAACATCAATGATGAGAAAGAATCATTGATTGGCTGCCTTCTACACACCCCACACTGGGGATCAAGCCCGCAACCCGGGCATGTGCCCAGACCAGAAATCGAACCGTGAACTTTTGGGTTCATAGGTCGACGCACAACCACTGAGCCATGCCAGTGTGGCACTAATAGTGTATTTTAAAGCATAACATACAATTTCATGAATACACATAGAGGGGTTTTTGAGACTATTGTATTTGAAACTATTTTGTATTTAACTATGTAAAAGAAATAGAAATATGAATACTACTACTAAAAATAAACACACCTCTTCTTCCTGTTGATAGCCTTTCAAAAAGTGACATCAGATCTCCCATAATAGGAAAAGGAAATTGACCAAAAATAAGCCAGACTCCAGGGGACCACCTCTTCCTGGCACTGACCCCACATCCTGAATTCAACCATTTAGTCATTTGCTCTAGACCAGGGGTGGGCAAACTTTTTGACTCGAGGGCCACAATGGGTTCTTAAACTGGACCGGAGGGCCAGAACAAAAGCATGGATGGAGTATTTGTGTGAACTAATATAAATTCAAAGTAAACATCATTACATAAAAGGGTACGGTCTTTTTCTTTTTTAGTTTTATTCATTTCAAACGGGCCGTATCTGGCCCGTGGGCCGTAGTTTGCCCACGGCTGCTCTAGACTGTAAGTTCCTGCACAGTAAGCACCATGAATGCTTCATTGTTTTTGCAATGACTAGCTGAATAGAAAAAATTGATTTATCTGTCATTTGCATTGCTAGACCTCCTCAGAATTCCTCACCTTTATACCAGAAAACGGAGCAACACCCATCTAGCTAAGATACTGTTCCTATGAATGTGTTCAGCCCTGTGCTTTGGGCTGTACAGAATAAAAATGGTGGAACAACTCCCCAGATAGTAAGTTCTCAACACAAAACTTCAGTAGTAGACATGAATGCTACATAAAGTAAGCATATAGCTTGTCAGGAAGTACAGGACAATATCCAGTATCTATACTTTATGTGATATTTGTGTTGTTCTTCTGAGCCAACATATGCACATAAACTCTCATATTAACCAGCACGTGCAAGATCCAGTACAGGACACTGGGTTTTTACTATAAGCTCTGCCCAGCTAGAAATCCTGGGCCCATGGTGGTGGACTGGAAGATACTCAATGGGCATATGTGCAAACAGACACAATTATGGCCATGCTGTGAACATACATAATAAGTTTGCACCCAAAATCATGAAGAAAATATTTCAAATCAAAAGCTACCATGGTTTCTGGAATGCCTAGAAAGAATGATCAACAGCCCAGTTAGTATGGCTCAGTTGGTTGAGCATCATCCCATGCACCAAGAGGTCATGGGTTCGATACCTGGTCAGGGAGCATGCCCAGGTTGTGGGCTCGATCCCCAGTGTAGGGTGTGAAGGAGCAGCTGATCAATATTTCTCTTTCATTTCTGTTTCTATCTCTCTATCCCTCTCCCTCTCTAAAAATCAATAAAACCATATATTTTTTTAAAAAAGAATGATCAACGGTTGGCTATATTCAGATGAATTTGTCTGGGTTCCACTGCAGTAAAGGAGATGATAATGATGTTTCAGTAAATAAAAATTCTTCAGGATTCTAACAAATATTGAAACCAGGAAGATCATTCCCATTTTCAAATACACACTTGCTACTCTGATGGTTTCCAGTATTCAGTATTCACATTCAGAAAGAAAGGCTTCATCATGAAATTGTGAGTTGTGAGCTCTCTTTTTCATAAAACATATAATCCAAATTTTTCAACACATTCTGATGCTTCTCACACCACTATATAAATTCTAAACTACTGATCAGTACCTACAATGATCAGCAAGGATGATGTGGGATGGGGAGAGTATTGAGATGGTATAGCCATAGCACTTCAAAGGACAATGGCTCTGATGTCCATGTAACTGAGAATAAAAAGAAATAAAGGAACTGGAGATAATTAAGAAATGAAAGAAACACAATTTATCTTAATAATTTTAGAGTCAGTTTTGCAGCCTGGAAACAGGTATCCCCTCCACATGTTTAATTCATATCAATTTTTCATACTGAATATTTTCCATTTACTTAAAACTACATCACTCCCACTGGAATATTTTCCTCCTAATTATGGAGTATCTTTACACACCAAGTAGTGTCCTAAGTGCTTATTCCCTTCATATAACTATCAAAACAATACCATGATTTGGGACATTACCAAGTTTTCAACTAAACAAACTGGCAGGCCCTAACCGGTTTGGCTCAGTGGATAGAGCGTCGGCCTGCGGACTGAAGGGTCCCAGGTTCGATTCCGGTCAAGGGCATGTACCTTGGTTGCGGGCACAACCCCAGGAGGGGGTGTGCAAGAGGCAGCTGATCGATGTTTCTCTCTCATCGATGTTTCAAACTCTCTATCCCTCTCCCTTCCTCTCTGTAAAAAATCAATAAAATATATATATATTTTTTTTAAAAAAAACTGGCAGAAAAGAGTGAATAACTTTGGTGACATAATAAGTAAAAAACAATAACCAAAGGAATGTCCACTTACATAGTTTCTCTTTAATAGAAAGAATGAAATAAAGTGTATTAAACAAACTACGACTTCATTTGCTCATTATCCAATTATTACCATTTTCAGGATATTTCTGTACACCATTGAAGTCAATGAAAGCCATTCTTAAAATCTCCAAGCACGACATATAAGCAACATTTCATCCACTATGGAACAAGGAAAACATACGTTAGATCTTACATGAGACACAGAAATGTAAACAGACAGAACTGTAGTGGGAGATTCTCAGACCAAGAATCATCAGATTTGGGAGAAATTCACTGTAATGTATAGAAGATGATTCACATTATAAACCTGTAAGATTTCTAGCTTGCTAGTAAATCAACAAATATTTTTAAATTACTAATTTAGATCCTTTTTTTCTAAAGATATGTGTACACACATATACACCCACTTCTTCCTCATTAATCCTCTTATTCCTAAGTCACATCTTTGTTACTATACTTACATATTACATGCAGTACATATCAAAACCATGCAAATCTGTTATATAGGCTCAGAAAAAGGAAGTGTGAAAAATATATATAGGCTAAAATGTAATCATGATGCAGAATTCCAAAAATAGGGCTTCTAATCATACTTTTTTAGATTTGTTAAATTAGCATTTGTTAAGCAAAGCTCACTGGTACTGAATGGTAACCAGCAGTAACTCAGAAGACCCCAAGGTAAACTGGCAAAAACCAGTTTATAACTCATAGGCCTGGAGGAAATACACAATACGCCTGCAGGGGGCTACACAGGGACGCCAAGACAGGATGCAGGCAGAGGGAGGCAGGACCCAGAGTGCATGCCTTTGTTAGAAACACCATGTGGAGTGCCCTGGGGTTCTCAATTGAGGTCCAGATTGTTATATTCAAAGGAAAATCAGCAAGGTTTTGGTAAACTCTTCAGCAATCTTATATATACGGCATACAAAATAAAGACCCTGAGGTACACAACACTCTATAGTGCTCAAGGGCTTCTTGAGAAGTCATATCAAAACCTTACACATTTAATTGTGACACTGTAAGTTGGTGTCTAGTGTGTGCACTGGAGGGAGAATGGAGTTCAAGTCAAGGCTCCTTAGCTACACAAGACAAATGCCAATGCAGAAACATCATAAAGTATTTTAGCTAAACTCTTACAAATACTTCCACTAGATCTTTACTGCAACCATCATAATGTCCCTGTAGGTACTATATAAGGTTAAAGGTCCCTGGGTAAAGGATTTCTAGTAATATCATTCCAGTGCATTACAAATTGTTACCCACAACGGTGAATGAGGTGGGAAACATTAACATTCAAGGCATGTTAACACCTCATTCATTACACATCACTATTAATACACTTATGTTCATTCATTTTATCAATGAGAATATATTAAGTCCACACATAGTCTAAACATAGCATTACAAACCCACTATATTACCACTAGTCAAAATACACATTACAATCATTTATAGAATTATGAAATGAATTAAGATTTTAAGCCAATAATACTTTTGTTTCAAAAAAATCACAAATACTGTCATCATAATAACTTTTAAAAAAGGATACAGTGTAAGCAATTACATCTATTCAAACATCCATACCCTTGGTATTTTGATTCCTACTAAAAAGCCACATAACTTTATTTACTGGGTTCTCTAAAATAAGTATTCGGATTTACTGATATTTGAAAGTGTTGACTTATTACTTTCTACTGTGAATTTTCTGATATTTTAGATTTAATTTTGATTAGCTACTTTGCTAGATTTTCTAGATCTTTAAAGTCACTTTAAAGGGTAAATTCTGTGGGGTTTTCTGAAGTGTGTATTTTGGACAAAAATCTTTCTTCATTTATAACAAATATAGAATTTATCTCCAGTATGCATTCTCTGATATTGAGAAAGGCTGTAGGTCCTGCAAAAGGGTTTGCCATATTCTTTAAATTTTTAAGTTTCTCTCCAGTATAAATTCTCATTTATCAATTAAGATATAAATGCTAAATACAGGCATTGCTGCATTTTTGACATTTGCATGATTTCTCTCCACCAAGAACTCTCTGAAGTTCAATGAGGTTTGTTTAATGGTTAAAGATTTTGCCACATTCTTTTTATTTGTATTGTTTCAGTCTGGCATGACTTATGTGATATGGACTAAGGTTCCAACACTGGGGGGAAGGCTTTTCCATGTTCTCTACACCTCCCTCTGGTGTGAATTCTATATACTTAGTGAGATTTGGGCAACAGCTAAAGGTTTTTCCACATTATTTACATTTGCATTGCTTCTATCCAGTTTGGATTCCCCAATACTGAGTAAAGCTATAGCAGAGGTTAAAGGCTTTGTCACACTCTTTACATTTGTAAAGCTTTTCTCAGGTATGCATTCTCATATGTTTGGTAAGGTTAAAGCAGAGGATAAAGGATCTGCCACATTCTCAACATTTATAAGGTTTCTCTCTAGTAAGAGACCTCTGATATCTGGTAAGAGTTGAACAGTGCTTAAAGGGTCTGCTACATTCTCTACATTTATAAGGCCTTCCTCCAGTGTGAAATCTCTGAAGTTAAGTAAGTTCTGAGCACTGGGTAAAGGCCTTGGCACATTCTCTACATTTATAAAACTTCTTTCCAGATGAATTCTCTGATGTTGAGTAAAGCTGGAATACCAGTTAAAGGCTTTGCCACATTCTCCACATTTATAAGGCTTCTCTCCAGTATGAATTCTATGATGGTTGGTTAGGTCTGAACACCGGTAAAAGGCTTTGTCACATTCTCTGCATTTATAAGGCTTCTCCCCCGTGTGAGTTCTCTGATGTCGAGTCAGGCTTGAATACCAGTTAAAGGATTTGCCACATTCTTCACATGTATAAGCCTTATCTCTAGTATGGTTTCTCTCATGTTTCATAAGCCTTGTACAATCATTAAAAGTTCTGCCACATTCTCTACACTTATAAGGCCTCCCTACAGAATGAATTCTCTGATGTTCAGTAAGTTTTGAGCACCTGGTAAAGGCTTTGCCACATTCTCTACATTTATAAGGCTTCTCTCCAGTATGAATTCTCTGATGAAGGGTAAGGCTTGAACTCCGGATAAAGGCTTTGTCACATTCTCCACATTTATAAGGCTTCTCTCCAGTATGAAGTCTCTGATGAGTAGTCAGGTCTGAACACCGGTTAAAGGCTTTGCCACATTCTCTACATTCATAAGGTTTCTCTCCAGTATGAATTTTCTGATGTCGAGTAAGGCTTGAATACCAGTTAAAGGCTTTGCCACATTCTCTACATTTATAAGGCTTATCTCCAGTATGAATACTCTGATGTCGAATCAGGCTTGAAAACACGTTAAAGGTTTTGCCACATACTCTACATTTATAAGGCTTCTCTCCAGAATGAATTCTCTGATGACTGGTAAGGCTCGAATACCACTTGTAGGCTTTGCCACATTCTCTACATTTATAAGGCTTCTCTCCAGGATGAAGCCTCTGATATTCATTAAGTTTTAAGCACTTGTTAAAGGTTTTGCCACAATCTCTGCATTTATAAAGCTTCTCTCCAGTATGAAGTGTCTGCTGTTCAATAACATGGGAATGCAACTTAAAAACTTTATCACATTCTTTACATTTGTAAGGCTTCTCTCTAGCACGGATTTTCTTATGCATATATACATTGGATAATTGACTAAGGACTCTCACACACTGATTACACCTGAAAGGCGCCTCCCCAATATCAGTATTTTTAAGTTCAGTAAGATTTAACGACTGATCGAAAGAGTTGGCATATTCGATACATTTGTCTGTCATCTCTACACTATGAATATCCTGAGGTATAACAATATTTGAGCTTTTATCAAAGACATTCGGACACTTATCATTTCTCTGTGGAAGCTGAGTTGTCTGATGGTTATCAGAATTTGACTCTTGTTTAATGTTTTTCCAAGATTCATTGCACTGGAGACTTCTCTCTTCATTATGCATACTCTGGTAATCATTGGAGACAGAAAGGCCTTTAGTGATGGCATTTAACATTCACATGCAAAGCTGTTTCCAGTTACCTATTCTGCTATCTACTGAACCATGATGGTTGAATATAAACCCTAATAAACTCATAAAAATTAAAGACTCTGGAATAAGAAAGAATATGTATCTGTGAAAGAATAATGCAAACTTGGTTAAGGATTTACAAATTCATACTTATAATTTCTATCTTCATTTTTTCAATCTGATTTTTTAGAAATATTTTACTTAATCAAACCCTACATTAAATCATCCAATGGATTATCTGCACAGTAGACTAGCTTACTTCTCTGATATTACAAATTTAATTTCAGAGAATATGTACGAATATGTACTTTTTAAAAAATATCTTTGGACTTTACGTTCAGAAACACATTGTTGTGCCAATATAAGTGACTTAGAGTAGAAAATTTTAATATGTTTTATATCTAAAAAGTCTTTTGCGAACAAGATTTTCATATGGGTAATTGCTCCATTTACTTATATCCCTCATAACATCCTTTTTTCTCTTCATATTCCCCTGCCCATTACAAAACTTTCATTAAGTGTAAATTCTCAATGCCACACCTTCGGTATCTTACCTGGAACATTTCGTGGAATGAATCTTCTATGCCTGACTTTGGCAACAAGTCCTGGGTGGCTTGAGAAGATATAGCTGAAATATACCAAATTAATTATCAAACACTACACTCAGGTAAATATTCTTTAAATTCTAATGTACAGAAAAGATTTCAGATGGCAGAATAGGAAGCAGCAAAACATTCTTCCTCTATGGAGATGTTAAGTTACCAATAATTACTGAACCAATTGCCTTCTAGAGTACTTCAGAAGCCAGCTCAAGACCACTACAGCCCCCAGAAAGCACAAAACAAAAATATCATATCAAAGAGAGAAGAAAAGTTGCTTACACTTGCTCACCCTCCCTGGCACACTACAAAATGACTGTGGGATAACTCCAAATTCTCAGTTTCTTCTCAGAAGAGAAATGAGTGTACTGTGAGTCTCATGGTCTTTTTTTGTTGTTGTTGGTTTTTTGCGACCTGAAAGACTTGTTTCTATTTTGAATGATACAGATTGCTAAGGAAATGGCAATACACTGTGAATGCATTTGTGGCAGCTGTGAAGAAAAAGAAAGTAAGTGTTCAGGCACCAGAGGGACGACAGTGCTGAAGACATCCATCAGGGATAGGAAGACATCATGAGCTATATATAAAATGGCGAAATTACATAAAACACACATACAACCTTCAGGTCAAGATGGTGGTGAAAATAAATGTGGTACCGGCATTCTCCCACAACCATGTCAAATATACAACTAAGGCTTCTCTCCAGTATGGAACTACAGAAAAACCATCATTCAGAACCACCTGACACCTAGTTGAACAGAAGTCCTACAATTAAGGTTATAAAGAAGAAGCCTCATTGAGACTGGTAGGAGGTGCAAAGATGTTAAATGGACTGGTCCCACAGGGCAGAGAAAAATCGTGAGGAACATTTCAGCTGCACAGGTCAACTTTGAGGAGCTAGGGGACCCAGCCCCATACTAGGCCCACCAGCCCAGGTTTCCAGGGTTGGGAATAGATGTCCCCATTAATTCTGGCAATAAAACCAGTGGGGATTATGGCTGAGTATGAAGGATAGTTGCTCGCATCCAAGGCAGTTCCTCTTAAAGGGCCCACAAATGGACATACTCAGACTCACTCCCTCTGAGTCCCAGTGCTGAAGGAGCAATTCGAAATCAGCCAGGGATATACAGGGAGGAACTGAAGTCTCTGGCATTAAGATGAGAGCTGAAGAAGCTTTCTCCCAGACAGAAGTTTTGGTAGAAGCCACTGTTCCTTTTCTGAGTCCTTTCCCCACAGAGCAAGTAGGCAGGTGCCATATCTAAAACTCCATCTACCTGGCTCACACTGCTTGTCCAACCCTGGAGATTTCCTGAGACCCCACACCATCAACTTGTAGGCCCACCCAAGCTGTTTTCACTGGCTTTTCAATATAAACAGACTGGCATACACTCAAGCAGCATCTGGCTTCAGTGTGTGCCATACCTCTCGCTAAGTGTTCCCAGGCTCGGCAATAGTGGCAGCTGGCCTTGGTTCATAGCTTGGTCCTGCCTTAGAAACTCCAACCTCAGCATAATTAACAGACATATGCAGATCCCTTTGTAGATCATGCCAGGTGATCGCAGGTAGAACACAGGCACTGGTTGTGGTTGACTTTGCCCTGCACTTCATGGAGGCCCCAAGCCAGCACACCTGGCGGACACCTTCAGAGCATGTCGAAGCACCAACCAAACCACCTCCACAAGCAATAAGCTCAAGGGGCAGACTCAGCAGGCACCAGACCACAATGAAGTAAGTCCTGCTCCACCAGGTGAGCCCTGCACAGCTAATCCTCCACAATGGTCACAGAAAGTTTTTTCAACTGATGAGACTTGGCCTAAATCCCTCCCATTGAAATTCCAACAGCAATCAAGGCTCAACTACAACAGGAGAGTATACATAGCCCATACGGTGGGGCGCACCTGGAATGCTCAGCTCAGGTAAACAGGAGGCTATGCCACTGGATGCTACTAGACATCTACTACATTAGGCCACTCTTCCAAGCCTGAGAGATGTAGCAGCTCGACCTAATACATGGAAACAAACACAGAGATCTTTCCAAAATGAGGAGACAAAACATGTCCAAAATGAAAGAACAGAACAAAACTGCAGAAAAATATTAAACAAAACCGAAACAATCTACTAGATGCAGAGTTCAAAACTTAGGGGAATGCTCAATGAACTTAGGGGAAGAGTAGATGAACATAGAACTTCCAAAGCTAAAAAAAAAAAAAAAAA